AAGACCGGCGATATCACCAAAGAGGAGACCGATGTCATTGTCAATTCTTCCAACCAAGACTTCACGCTGTGCAGAGGTGATTCATCCTAACCCCAAAATTCAAATATCAAATTATAGATTGAAAATCATTCATGCAGAAATCCAAAAACATTCTAAGGGGTTGCAAACTTTTTCACTTTTAGTCACAGAACATGGGTGGGTAGTACGAATAACACGACACATAAAATCATCCAATGATGAATATAGCATAAAAAAATACAACCTTGTCTGAGGAGAGGAGCGTGAAGAACTTGAAGGTTGTAAAGGTGATCAGGCTGTGGAAGGAAGTCCCAGAGTAGTTCTCAGTTGAGGGGTGTGAAGACGTGACTGGAGCAGAGATGAAGGTCACATGCAGGCTATGGGAATGTATTCAGATTGTGAAGGCCATTGCAGAAGGTATAGATGTCAAGACTTGTAGATGAAAAAATATGATTTTGGTGGGCTCAGCTGTTGATATGGAGTTGACATGGGGCCCACCAATTCACAAAGCTAACATACCAGGATAAAGGATACTTATTTTCGAAAAGGTACTTCCAGTTGAGTCTAATAAGATTTAACAAATTACAGTCTCTTGGCTAAATAAGGAAACTCTGTGAATTGAGATGATTGTGTTTTATATTTTTACTTTCAGGAGTTTCAAAAGCGATTCTGGATGCTGCTGGACCATCTGTTGTATCATCTGCTGCAGCTCAGGGTAAAGCTCTGCACTGGACCATGTAGCTTTTTTTGCTTTTATATGTATACAAGAATAGACAATGCACCAAGAGAAAGTAGCCGGCAATTGTGAAAGATATAGAAGGAATTGCGGTTATGACGGTGGATGGACACCCACTGGCTGCCAGTAAAGGCCAGGCTTTGTAATTTGTATATGACTTTGAAGGTTCTCAGATATACAGCTCATGGTATAGCTAGTAATAGTTAGCCACATCCATCTGGACTTGTTATGTTATGTTGAAGATGTTTCATCCCTTCTTCAAGCCACTTCTTCAGCCGTAATGAGTGTTAAAAACATTAAAATGCTACACATTTATATCTGCAGAATACCAGCACCTTCATCAAATCCTCATGGAATGTGTAGATGTTGATTGTCCAAGAACAAGGATGGGAGGTGTGAAAGTTGTGAAAACTCCCTGTTCTAGTTACATAATCGTATCCTTGATGTCAGGGAGTCTGCATAGGTGGTCATCATTCGATTTACAAGGCTGAATGTGTGAACTGATGTCAAATTGCTGGTGAAGAGATGTTAAAATGGCATTACATGTGGAAGACAGATGGTCTTGAAGGTCCCCAACCTTGTTCAGTGATGGCTGTTCCCATTTGAGGTACTTCAGCTCAACCTTCTATGCACTCCTTGCTGCAAAGGCCAGTTATAGATTGGGGCAGTTGCCATTTGTTTGCACATGTACTGTTTCCTTCAGATGTAGGACAACTGGACCTTCTGTAGAATTTGCTCTCCCATGTTGGGCCATCCTAACATCGCTACCCTTTGAAAACTGATAACAATTTACACCTTCAGCTGTGGAAATCAAAGGGATAACACCTCTGCAGACTCCCTGACACCAAGCATGGGACTATGTAAAACTAGGACCAATGGGTTCCACAAACTTCCCAACTCCCTTCCTGTTCTTGGACAATCAGCATCTGCTTTGACACAGTCCATGGCGATTGGATGAATGTGCATGGAAATGGCCACTTTATTAGGTCAACCTGTTCGATTGCTTGGTAAAACAAAGTGCTAATCATCCAATCACATGGCAGCAACTCAATGCATTTAGGCATCTGGTGAAGACATCTTTAAACCAAGGATCATAATGAGGAAGAAAGGGGATTTAAGTTACTTTGAACGTGGCATAGTTGTTGGTGCCAGATGGGGTGGTCTGAATATTTCAAAAACTGCAGATCTACTGGGATTTTCACACAGAACCAACTCTATGGTTTACAGAGAATGGTCCGAAAAAAAGAAAAATATCCAGTGAGCGGCAGTTGTGTGGAGGAAAATGCCTTGTTGATGTCAGAGGAGAATGGGCAGACTGGTTGCAGCGACATTCAGATGTTAGGGTCAAAATTTGGCAAAAACAACATGAAAGCATGGATCCATCCTGCCTTGTATCAACGGTTCAGGCTGGTGGTGTCATGGTGTGGGGGTTCCATCCTGCCTTGTATCAATGGTTCAGGCTAGTGGTGGTGGTGTCATGGTGTGGTGGATCCATCCTGCCTTGTATCAATGGTTCAGGCTGGTGGTGGTGGTGTCATGGTGTGGGGGATCCATCCTGCCTTGTATCAATGGTTCAGGCTGGTGGTGGTGGTGTCATGGTGTGGGGGATCCATCCTGCCTTGTATTAATGATTCAGGCTGGTGGTGGTGGTGTCATGGTGTGGGGTATCCATCCTGCCTTGTATCAATGGTTCAGGCTGGTGGTGGTGGTGGTGTCATGTGTGGGGGATCCATCCTGCCTTGTATCAACGGTTCAGGCTGGTGGTGTCATGGTGTGGGGGATCCATCCTGCCTTGTATCAATGGTTCAGGCTGGTGGTGGTGGTGTCATGGTGTGGGGGATCCATCCTGCCTTGTATCAATGGTTCAGGCTGGTGGTGTCATGGGTGTGGTGGATCCGTCCTGCCTTGTATCAATGGTTCAGGCTGGTGGTGGTGTCATGGTGTGGGGGATCCATCCTGCCTTGTATCAATGGTTCAGGCTGGTGATGGGTGGTGTCATGGTGTGGGTGGATCCATCCTGCCTTGTATTAATGATTCAGGCTATGGTGGTGGTGGTGTCATGGTGTGGTGGATCCATCCTGCCTTGTATCAATGGTTCAGGCTGATGATGGTGTCATGGTGTGGGGGATGGGGGATCCATCCTGCCTTGTATCAATGGTTCAGGCTGGTGGTGTCATGGTGTGGGGGAAATTTTCTTTGCATTAGCAAGGTGGACCCAATAAAGTGTTCCAGTGTGTATATATGTTGGGGTATCTTCCTGACCCTCAACAGAACTGAAGACATGGCTTGGGGAAGCTATGAAATGAACGCAGATAAATTGGCAATCATTTTGGGGTGTATACCCTATAGCTACTTTTTTATACGTTTCCATTTCTGGCAGGTTCCCAACATCATAAGGGATGCATCATCACCGCGTCTGGAAACCTCAGACAGTGTAAACATATTCTCCATGTGATAGGACCAAAACATGCAGCATCCACCAAGAAAATCGTCATGGATGTGCTGAAGACGTGTGAGAATAATCAGTTCTCCTCTGTCACCTTCCCGGCTCTGGGAACAGGTATGATGAAGGCATCACTGACAGTTCTGTTACGTATGGTACAATATAATCTTCCTCTTCTTATGATTTCACCTTTTTCTTGTTTCACCCATTGGGGAAATACCAGTGATGTATCTCCCATACATATGCACTGCGTCTTGTCTCAGCACCCGACTCCGTTCCCGACATCTATAAGATAAAAGAACTGTGAGAACAGTTCAGTTCTTGGAAGGAAAGATTTCTAGAGTCTCGTGTACAGACCTGGCTTGGATTTACTTCAGCTTTGAGGTTTATTTTTCCACCTGCTGTGATATTCCTGAAATCTCTCATGAAAGACACAAATTCTTCCATTTTTCTGAAAACAATCCAGAGGTGAAGGCCATTGTCACAGCAACACGTTCAGGAACAACACCCACCTGCTTGTATGCGTCACTCATCCAACCAGCGATAGACCAACACCTCCAAGTAGGTGACTATCTCACCTCTTCCCCCATTCCAATCATGACATCAGGATTCCAAAGTGACGTTGGCCTAAGAGATGAGTAATGGGATTAGTCCCAACAGAACTTATATTTCAGTGTTTGGTAGACGGTGGAAAGGTAAATAAAAAGCCTACACATCATCTGGTTCCACTTTGAGAGGTTCCCATCATTCTTGCAAGGAAGTCCTTGGTCTGAACACCTGCTGTGCCCATTATGAGGGGTTCTCACCATTCCCGGGTCTGTATGCACACTGTGCCCATTATGAGGGGTTTCCACCACCTGTGTGCTGAGTTCCCGGGTCTGTAAACCAGCTGTGCCCATTATGAGGGGTTCCTACCACCCCTGTGTTGAGTTCCCAGGTTTGTACACCCACTGTGCCCATTATGAGGAGTTTCCACCACTCCTGTGTTGAGTTCCTGGGTCTGTACACCCGCTGTGCCCATTATGAGGAGTTCCCACCACCCCTGTGTTGAATTCCCGGGTCTGTACACCCGCTGTGCCCATTATGAGGGGTTCCCGCCATCCCTGTGCTGAGTTCCCGGGTCTGTACACCCGCTGTGCCCATTATGAGGGGTTCCCGCCATCCCTGTGCTGAGTTCCCGGGTCTGTACACCCGCTGTGCCCATTATGAGGGGTTCCCGCCATCCCTGTGCTGAGTTCCCGGGTCTGTACACCCGCTGTGCCCATTATGAGGGGTTCCCGCCATCCCTGTGCTGAGTTCCCGGGTCTGTACACCCGCTGTGCCCATTATGATCCCTGTGGGTTCCCGTACACCCATCCCTGTGCTGAGTTCCCGGGTCTGTACACCCGCTGTGCCCATTATGAGGGGTTCCCACCATCCCTGTGCTGAGTTCCCGGGTCTGTACACCCATGGTGGAACTTTTTCTGCTGCAGGCTTTCTATAGCAGAGCCTCTGGAGGTCAGATGCCTTTGAGTGATGTTTTCTGCTTTTATCCTTAATGAAGAAAAGTTACATTTTGTGGTCAGTAGATATCTATGGTGAACATTTCGTCTGGTTGATACAGGTGCGGGGGGATTAGCCGCCTCCACAGTGGCCGACTCAATCCTGGATGGTTTGGAGGACTTCATCAAATCTAAATCGGTCCGTTCTCTTCGGACGGTGAAAGTGGTTCTGTTCCAGCAACATATGCTGAACGATTTCTACATGAGCATGAAGAAGAGAGAGGGGACCGCCCTGCCTGAAGTGCCTGAAGCCAAATCCTTCTTTACTAAAATCACTGGTGAGTGGGATGAGAGATCAGAATGGCCGACTGAACAAGAAAGGGGAAGAAACATTTCTGTATGTAGGGGGAGCTCAGGATCTTGGAAATCCTAAAAGAGTGACCGGTTGAAGTGCCACAGCCCGATATTCAAGTCCGAATACAAGTTTATTCAAATGATAGATTGCTTGCCAATCCAAAGCATTTTGGGGGCTGTAACTCCACCCCCTTCATCTGGGCTTAAAGAAGTCTTATGAGCAATGAAAACTTCTGGTCTGATGATTAATATGGAAATATTTATCTCTGAACGTTGTACAATTGTGCTATTACTGCCTGTAAGCTACTCCCCTGCCAGGAGCCCAATTTGTGGGTGGGTGCTCCTAATTGGTAAATGAAGAAGAGCTTTTGCTAATGCCCCCAGTGCTGCTGATGTGCTTCTCAGATTTGCCTGTTGGGTGCACTGACATCACCATCATCTGCTCTGATGCCACCCCAACCCCCCCCCCCCCCCCTTCTGCTGTCACTCCGCACTTCAGGTACATCTCCTGGTGGCCCTGATGTCATTATTACTGATCTTGTGTGCTTTGTTGCTCCGGCACCCTCTGCTGTGAGCACGCCTTAGTGTAGAGGATTTCCAGGCAATTGCTGGTATCAAGTAAGCACCTTGGGCGTGCCGTCAACCATGCTAGGTCAGGATACAGAGCGCCTATCAAAATACTACATGCACTTTGTCCCCTGAGGGGCAAGATGAGAAGATATATATGGGGAGACTTCTTCTTTAAGAGAGCGAAGAAGATACAGTGCATGAGGAGTCAGTAAATGCGCTCAAATCCACTGCAAACTCCCAACGCTCCAACAACCTCCAACTATTTACTGATTCCACATACACTATCTTTACATCATTCTCCTAAGCCCTGATGAAGGTGTTACGGCCCCTGAAATGTGTTGTTTTTACAAAAAAATCTACGATTGGAATAAACTTGTATTTGGAAGTGAATATCATTGTTAGGGATCCGGGTATGACCAGAAATGTGTGGACTGACACAGGGAAGTAGCAGGCTTCAGGAACACAGGCGTAGTCAGGGCTGGAGAGGTGAAATGGTCAGGCAGGCCGTAAGGTACTGTCAGGTGCCGCCTGGCAGTGTCTCTAGCAGCCCACAGCACGGATTTCCCCAGGGCGCGGGGTCTAAGTCCCAGCCTGCTATTCACCAGGGCCCCTGATGGTGGGATGGACTTGGTGCAGACTGGAACCAGGTCGCGACCCCTGAGTGCGTCCGGCTGTGGTAGAGAGTACTGGCGGGAGTGCAGGAACAGAGTCTGATGGGAAGAGGCAGGCAGACTTACTAAAGGTGATCCGTGCGGGATGGATGGATCATCGGGTGAAGTAAGCGTAGTCAGATAGGCCGGGTCGGTATCGTGCAGGCAGCGTGGTACAGGAGGAGCAAGCAAGAATGGTCGGGGTCACAAGCCAGGTTTAGCAGGTAGCGGGCAGCGTGGTACCGAGGAACAGGCAGAAGGATGGTCAGGCAAGCCAGGGGTTCAACAGGAGATGGTCAGCAGAGGTCAGGATCAAAGCAGGGTCAGCAACAAGGCAGGAACACAGGATACCAGGTACAGGGGCTCATGGGAAACATGCATCAAGGCCAAGATCACAGGCCTGGTCATTCCTTATATGCACCTCCTGCAATCAGCCTCAGGTGTTTTGGCTGATTGCAGGAATGAGCCTCTGGTTGCTGAGAGCACCCGCTGGCCAGCCCTGGTACTGTAACCCACAAGGCAGGTGAGTCCCACCACTATTGGCGAGTCCATTCCTGACAATCATGGTGTGTCACTTCAATTGTAAACTAACTTATCCCTATCACCAACCATGGTTACCATGGAATCCCTTCAGTATCCCGAAGTCACCTGCCTGGTATTCAGATTTCTTATATTTATACCATTGCCATACTGCTGAATGGCAACAATAATATAAAACAAACGCAGGGGCACAGATTGGTATTTTAGGGATTGGGTCTATATCTACTGTAATCGGTGAAGCATTAAATATCAAATGAACTTCATAAAGAACATCCTCAAAGCTCCTCAGCTGAACTCCATGTTACCCAAACCTGGTCTAAACCCGTTCATAGACTTTATTTTCACAATTTATATTTCCACTTTTAGAGCAGTTTGTGATGCCATTGTCTCTTTTCTTCCTCTGTAGAATTTTTTAGGTCATCAAAAGCACCAAGACAAGCTCAGAAGCTCACTGCCTTCCAGTTGATGGATGGCATTGAGCCTGTGGTGTTCAGCTTGTGTGCTGAAGATAAAAGGAGTGTGGACAAGACGAAGGCTTGGCTACAGCAGCTGATCGACAGCGAGCAGGCAGAGAAGGTGATCAGAGAGGAATGTATCTCCGAATTAGAAGAAGCCGAGATGCAGAAGATCTCCGACCTCCAGAAAAAGTTTCAGGTCTCTGTCATTTACAAACCACCCGACCCCTCCATCCGGATTGTGGGCCTTACCAGGGATGTCCTAACTGTGTCTGGGGAGATCGAAACCATTATAAACCGGCTAAAAGACAGAAAAAGCAAAGAGCGGGCAGCAGAGCTCACCGGTAATCTGGTGGAATGGAGATATGACAATGGAGGATCTATGATTCCCTTCGACAAGATGACAAACTTGGAGCTGGAAGAGGCAAAAAATGACAACAAGGTCCAGATCCCAATCCAGATCCAAGGACACCAATATACTGTCAGTGTACAAGCAGAAACGGCCACAGACAAGTATGGAAACCAAATTCGGATCCAACGTGGTTTGAAACATGGTAATATGGCTTTTATTGATTATTTAATGGCACCAACGTATTCAACAGAAACGTGCTTCATTCACAGGCAGACGTATCAGAAAATGACCTAGACAGATATGAATTATGGGGTGCAGCACCTTCTAGAAGGAATTTCTGTGTTAATTCTTCCATTGTATTAAATAAACCCAACTAAACACAAAAGCTGGCTTTGCAGGGAAGAGTCACCTCAACCAAGACAGCTGCATGTGGCATTCCTTCCACAGGAAATACTGGATTGTCATGGGCTCTCCTACCCTTTCTAGTGGTGACTTGCCTACAGCTATACATAACAGCACCCTGACACACCAAGAGAGACAATTTGGTTTCAGTGGTTTTAGTCTTTCTGAAGTTTGTCGGCTCAATCATCTGTAGAGAGAGGATTAGGGGTACAGAATACCTAAAAAAAACTGCAAAATAATCCAGGCGTTTCTATGTCCTCAACAAAAGTGGATGGGGGTTAAATAACTGTTAAATCCGACAGATTCGACAGATAAGCTATTATCAAAGTTGATGGTGACCCAAATGTTTTGGCCTCCCAGTAACAAACGGATCATCTAAGAGCAGCTATTGGTAATCCTAATTCCTTCAGTAGCACCCGACCAATGACACTAGACCTTTTAGAAGTGGCTATTGGTGCTTCTAAAAATGTAATAGCAAGCTCTCAATAGGAATTGGTCCTAAGACCCTAAGCAATCCGTTACAGTTAGGGCTGAGTAATGAGGTCTCCATGTAATGACCACTCAGCAACAGCTTATCCCAAGCTCTCTTGGACATTTTTCTGCATAGCAGACTCCTCTGAAGAAGCTCCAGCAGGCAGCCATCTTCTTGATCCTCCAGGCCCTTACACAGGCCAGTTAAGATTTCTAGGAAGGGCATCCATAAGGAGAAGCCTTGGGCTTTCAGTCGTGCCCAAGAAAGGTGACCCCCCTCAGAGTGAAATCCTCTCCAGGCAGCAGCCTGAGATGGAAGACCCTTCTAGAAGGTGACCCCCAAGTATTTATCTCTCCCCTCAATTCAAATCTCTGGAAAAACATCCTCGATGATTGGCCAAAGCAGAAAAAATATTGATGATTGAGGAAGATTGGGCAGATTCTATAGCTAATAGCACGTTGTCTAGAGCAGATTGTGCACCTACAGTACATTTTACTTGTCGGGTTTCTCTTCGGCTCCTGACTGCACATCTTATTTTTCAGATGGGGATTTTCATAGTTTGCCGTCAAACTGGAAGCCAATGGGTAATACTCTTGTGATGGAAGTGGATGTTGCTCAAGGAACTCCTGAATACTCCAGTGTACAGCAGAAATTCCAGAGAACCTGCAGAAACCAAATACTGAAGGTAATGTCTCTGATACACTGTGGCGAATGATGTCAGATATCAGTGATTGAATTCTGGGCGGGAATGATGGTGATGTTCTCATGATGTGGGGACTGGAAATACCAACATGGCACTGGAAACTGGTGCTAAGTATGTGTAATGGAGTAAGTAGACCCTCCATTCCACCAGAAAAAGATATTTGACTTACCTGGAGAATAAGAGTCACAGGATCACACTGCTACTGGATGACGCCAGATAAATCCCCTAGAAGAGTCTCCTCTGGTAAAGTTTTGAACTGTTAGAAACTTGCCAGATGCCTGAAAACAAAGAGGTGCAGGGCACTTCAGTCATCTCCCAGGGCAACAGTAGACAATATCGGAAGAGAATCAGACAGGAAACATGGACAGATATCTAAGTAATCAGTAAGTTCAGCAGAGGATTCAAACGCTTAGTCAAAGAGTACTTATGATCAGACACATATCAGGGTTTAGGTTCAGGTATGGTTTTGACAGTGTAACACCCTCCTAGTGTAGATAGGGGGAGCTAGAGTCCTGATTGTCAGTGAGGAAGGCTGAGCAACAAGGGTGTAATAGCCAGAAGGCCAAATTGTGGTCAGGAGCCGAGAGGCTCTGCAGGCCAGCCCCTCATGAATTTCCCTCTTCTCTAGGGATTTGAAGGAAGGCCCTGGATGCAGTGGGTGAATCTGAGGAGTGGTGGCCTGCACTCTTGAGGGACCCTAGCCAATCTCCAACAAGAGGCTTGACAAGGGTCTGGGACACCCTTAAAATTGTTGGAGCCTGCTCAGTTGCAAAGAGGAGTTCTGGTGGAAGATAGAGAGGAAGATGTGAGGCTGAAGCAAGTAGGCTGTGAGGAGGCCCAGTGGGATGGGGGCCTACCTGCAGGCCTGGAGCTGGAAAGGGGGAAAGCTCAAAGCTCATGGGCCCCATGAGAGAGGACCACCTGTATGGCAGGGAAGGAGTGGACTAGATGATAGGCCTGGTAGTAGGCCACCTATAGTATAGTAGAGTGAGTACCCCTGCACCCCCTGGGTGAATAGGGGAAAGAGCACTCTGGTGGGAAACCAGATTAGCCACCTGCCACTGACTGTTCATCTCTTAAACCGGATTCTCTGTTCAGGGATATCTCCAGTATGCTGGGTGAAGGCGATGAGAAGTTCATGTAGGGTCTGGGGTTGTACACTAAGGAGATGCAGGCTATCTCTCCAACAAAGACCGTGCTGCAGAGAAGGCTTCTAAATAGTGCCATGAAGTTGTCCTCTGTTCATCACTTCCTTTGGGCGTCCTGCACAACCCTAACCCTATCCCAGTTCAAATCCCCCTAACATAAATAATAAAACCAAAGCCCAAGGACTGATCTCTGACTCTGGATGCAAGCTTGTGCGAAAATGCATGTTGCCTGACTATGCTTGTTGCCTGAGACCCGAAATCTTTGCAACTCCTAAGGGGGTAGTGCTACAAACAGTATGGTGCAAAGAACCGGGCACTCCATTATACAATAATGACTGGCACTAGGAATGGGAAGACATAAACCTTCAATAGAATATTCCATCCATAACATCATGTTGGAACTGTTTCATACTTGACCTGTCCATGTATTCTTCATAGGATATGTCCTGTATAGTGGGTGGAACACTGTGGGGTCTAGTTGGTAGAACATTGTATAGATCTGAACCTTTGCATGTCTTGTCCTCCCAGATTCTGCGTGTACAGAACCGAGATCTCTGGCTCAACTACCAGATAAAGAAGCAGAACATTGACTCCAAGAACGGTTCCAAGAATAATGAGAGAGATCTTTTCCATGGGACCAACTTCAGCTCCATCCAACACGTCAATCATAATGGATTCAACCGGAGCTACGCAGGGAGAAACGGTGAGAGATTTATGAGGAGCAGTTTCCGCTTAATAGCCAGCTCTGTCATATAAAAAGAAAGATCTGGACATGTTTGTAAATGGAGGGAATATAAGGGGCCGTTGATATATGTAGGACCTAAGACTGTACATTGATGATCCAGGGGATGGCCGATTGCTTTGGGGGATCAGAAAGGATTTACCAGTTGCAGCAAATTGGATCAGGGTGTATCAGGCCTTTCTCTGGATCATCTACAGGTTCTGAGGATGCAGGATTTTCCTTTATTTTTTTTGTCTATTGGTTGAACTCAATGGACTTGTATCTTTTTTTTTTCAACCTAGGTAACTCTGTAGTTGAATTTATGCTTGGCACCAGAGCTGACTGGGCCGCCGTTGGAGAGAATTTCTCTCAATTACAAGTCTGGTGACACCCGATCACTCCCAGACTCATAGGTTTTCACCAGATGGTGGGAAATCTCCACAACATTGACGTAGACAGTAATAAAAATCTTCAAACTAGGGAATAAGAAAAGAGCGCCATGAGATTTGTAATAATCCTGATAGAGTGAATGGGTTGTAGAGTTTTAGGAACACCTCAATGCGTTTCAGCAGCTTAAAGAGCCCCTTTATCAAGGCTTTAAAATTTTAACTGAAAGGAATTTGGGTCCACAATGAAACCCATTGACCAGTGACTGGAGCAGACTGCTATTTAAAGGATTTTATCTTGGATCCAGATTCACTTCAGCTAAAAGCCTTAAGCCTTAATAAAGGGGCTCTTCAAAAAACCCGAAAACATGTTGAAGTCTTTTTTTTTAAACTATTGAACTCTATCTGGACTGTCAAAAACCTTGCGGCATTCTCTTCTTTTTTATTTCTAAGACTCTACCCCAAGGTCCCAGCCTATGGTCACTAGAATACTGCCTGGGTCCAGTAAGGATCCAAACACCCAGCTGGTAGACCTGGCTACAAGGTATAAAAAAGACCAGAACTTCACATTATGTCCATAGAGCTGCATTTCTCAAACAGGTCCAATGCTATACCTTACTGAAATCTATTGTTTTCAATTGGTTCACACCAATGTGCCCCATGACAATGACACACGCTGCATTTAAATCCTGTACAACATGGTGTGATGCCATGTTTCATTCCCACCTCCAGACCTTCTCTCCTGCTGCACCTCTTCTCTGGAGCTCTCCCTTTAAGTGATATTAATATGTGACGTCTCTTTCTTTTCGAACAGCTGCTGCTATAGGAAATGGAACTTATTTTGCAGTAAACGCAAATTACTCGGCTAGTCACACATATTCCAGACCTGATGCAAGTGGACAGAAGCACATGTACCTGGCCCGCGTTCTCTCCGGAATCTACTGTGCTGGACGCCATGGGATGATAACACCTCCAGCCAAAAATACAGCCAACGCCACCGACCTGTATGACAGTGTGACGGATAACGTCCAGAACCCTTCAATGTTTGTGATATTTAATGACATCCAGGCCTACCCCGAATATCACATCATCTTCCAGTGATGATCTATGACTGTGTCCGAGGAACGCACAAATCTCCAGGACAGCGACTCCTGGAAATCCTTGTTTTAGTGTCGCTTGGTCTGATCGGGATATAATTGTTAGAGTGTGGTGCCATCACAGGTCTACAACAGCCATAAAACACTGATAAACAATTCAACACAGGGACTCATTAGTGAAGGACCGGAGAGTGACGAGGAGGTGAAGGGCCTAGCCTCCCATTGTTGATATTCTCTGGGATCTCCGTGGCTCATTGCTCCACAACTTCTGTGCTACACTCATTCTCTGGGACTCTGATCTTCACTCACTGAGCATCACACAGGGGAGAGTTGGCTGCTTCCGGCTGTTGGGGTGGAATGGAAATCAATCAAAGTTGGCCTCTATGGCATCACCAGTTGCACATTTCCAAAAACAGTGCATTATAGGTGACATGGTGGTTCATCAGAGCTTCATCTTCCTCTGTATACAATGTGACTGCACAGCACCAACTCCATGTTGCCAATAACTATGGGACATGGTGGTTCATCAGAGCTTCATCTTCCTCTGTATACATGTGACTACACAGCACCACCTCCATGTTGCCAATACCTATGGGACATGGTGGTTCATCAGAACTCCATCTTCCTCTATATACAGAGTGACTACACAGCACCACCTCCATGTTGCCAATAACTATGGGATATGGTGGTTCATCAGAGCTTCATCTTCCTCTGTATACATGTGACTGCACAGCACCAACTCCATGTTGCCAATAACTATGGGACATGGTGGTTCATCAGAGCTTCATCTTCCTCTGTATACAATGTGACTACACAGCACCAACTCCATGTTGCCAATAACTATGGGACATGGTGGTTCATCAGAGCTTCATCTTCCTCTGTATACAATGTGACTGCACAGCACCAACTCCATGTTGCCAATAACTATGGGACATGGTGGTTCATCAGAGCTTCATCTTCCTCTGTATACAATGTGACTACACAGCACCAACTCCATGTTGCCAATAACTATGGGACATGGTGGTTCATCAGAGCTTCATCTTCCTCTGTATGCAATGTGAGTGCACAGCACCAACTCCATGTTGCCAATAACTATGGGACATGGTGGTTCATCAGAACTCCATCTTCCTCTGTATACAATGTGACTACACAGCACCAACTCCATGTTGTCAATAACTATGGGAAAGACTGCATGGAGGAGCCATGATGGTCCATCAATCTTCCAAGGAATAGTCAAGGTTGGGGTTGTATCTTCCTTAGAAAACCAAAGTAATATCAGTGATGAGAAGGTTCACCAATGGATGGTGACAGCAGATAAAGTGCTATTGAGTTGGTTTGTGTTGTGGGTGACCACACATTGCTCTAGGGGCCCAATAGATGAGGCTCTGATGGAAGTTCTCTCGCCCTCTCAGCTCCACCCATCATTTGGAAAACCAGTGACTCCACCCTCAGCCTCTGGCCTCTCCCAGCTTTTTTCAGCTGATTATAGTTTTCTCCTCCATGTATCCGACCTTCT